GGAGCACCCCGCGTGACCGCGGCACTCGTAGGAGATGGCGAAGGCCGGCTGATCGCCACTCCGGTGCACAAGGAGAGCATAGCGTCTAGGAGCAAGGAGGACCTGGCACAGGAGGCGGCGCTGGTGCTACAGCAGGCAGAGAGCCTTCACTGCGTGGCGCACGACAACCGACGATTGCCCGGCCGATTCAGCACACTTCCGGCGCGGCGTAACAAGAAGAGGCCGGAACTGCCGCTCGATGTGAGACGCAGGAGCGAGGAACTCGGCGCGACCACGAGCAGCGCGGACCTCGTCGTCGAGGCAACACCGAGGCCGAAGAAGAAAGCATTGGAGCGGAGCGCCAGCGATGCCAGCGCGAGGAGGCAGCTGAGGGGCTCGCTAGCGAGGTTCTTCTCACCGAAGTTAGAGCGTAAACGGAAGCCGGTGGGACGTAGCGCGAGCGACGCGGCCAGCTCGTCGAGGTCTCATCGGAAGAGAAGCGGCAGCGAGAGCGAGGGATCGCATCTCGGCAGCAGCCGCGCGAAGAAGCAGCTGTCGCCGATAATCGAGGCGTCGCCGTCGCACGTCGATCATCAGCCGTTCCATTTCGGTGGCGTGGAGAACGGTAGCCGACCGGAGGCGAAGAAGTCGAAACAAGAGGAGACCGCCACGGATGCCGAGGGGAGAGTGAGCGAACGAACGAGAGAGACGACAGAGACGAGAGAGAGGGTGGAGGAAGCGAGCCGAATCGGGAAGCCACCGATATCGCCTAGGAGAGAAGCCAAGGGAGTGGTGAGACACATACCCATCGAGATAGAGGCGGAAGAAGAGGACGAGAGAAGGAGGAGCAAGGAAGAAGCAACAGCGCGGAAGAAGGAGGAGAAGGCGACAGGTCGGACTCCCTCGCCGGTGGCAAAGGACGCTGGGGTCGACGAGGTGGACAAGGTCGCCGCAAGTAGCATGCTGCACAGCAGTCGATACGATCTGCAGCAACGAACTGCAAGCGAGGAATCGACGATACACAAGATGATTCATCGATTGTCCAGCGATCGGTCGCCGCCGCCGCAGCTGACGAAAACCATGGTCTCGCCTGGGCCGGGATTCGGTCACAACAACAACCGACCGTTCTCCTACACCAGACCGAACGAGTCCTGCAGCCCACCGCCCCCGCAGACCAACGTGATCTACGCTCAGGTGCAGACCGACAAGAAGAAGGCGCAGAGAAGTCACTCGGACAGCGACGAGGGCCTCGGCCTCGAGCGGAAGGACTCGTCGCGCGAGAACAGTCCCGCGGAGAAGGAGTACCGCAGGACGGATTACTCGTACAGCAGCGACTTGCGTCGCAACAACGAGATCAACGCGTTCAAGTCCAGGTACGAGGAGGACAGGAAGAACAGCAGCACGCACTTCTCCAGCCACTACGCAGCCGGCGTGCAGGATTACGCGAGCAGAAACGCGGACGCGAAACGGCGTCACGAGTTCGACGTCGACATCGACAGACGCCTGTACGACAAGCCGGAGAAGTACACGTCCACGACGGTGTTCGTCGACACGTCCGGCAGAGGCAGGGCCGACGGCACGGACGCCAGGCAACGGGACGGCAACGAATTCTCCGGCAGGCAGAATACACACAGCGGAATATCGAACAAAACGTCCGAGCTGAGCGCCAGGCGCGACCTCCTCGAGTCGAGGATCAAGTCGAGGCTGCTGGCCGACGAGATGTTCGCCGCGAAGAACAGCGCGAACGTGCCGATCAAGAAGTCCGAGCACGAGATCATCGACAAGCCGATCGTCCCATCGCCGGTCACCCCAAACCGCGTCGCCTCGCCCAAACGCTACATGGACACGTACATTACGGAGACGCGCACCAACAGCAACGGCGAGAAGTACATCTTCGAGAAGGAGATACACGAGGACAACGGCAAGGTGTACGGCTACGAGAAGAAGATCACCAACAAGATCCCGTCGGACGGTTACATCGACGCGAAGCCGAGGGACGGATACACGGTGGAAACGAGGACAGACAAGTACGGGGACAAGTACATCGTTGAGACGCGTACGCACGAGGGCTACGCGGACGATTTGAAGCCGTTCCTCGGCGACAGGAGTAGAACCAGCCCGGAGGACCGGTACCACGCGGCCAGAAACTCGACCAGCTCTTACAGCAAATCGTCCGGCCTTCGTCCCGGCGAGAGCACCGTCACTCGTCACTTTCCAGGCGAGCAGCCCAGGGAGAA